CGATGCACGATGATCGTGAATTTTTTTTTTTTTTTCTTTTATATTTCTCGACAAAGAGACGAGGAAGAAAAAAAAGAAGAAGAAGAAGAAGAAGAAGAAGAAGAGGAGGAATTTGGTTGCGACTCGCCCCCGATAAATAACGGTTACCCGTTAACTTTCTAAAAAAACTGGACGATTGGTTCAACGACGAATCAAGGAAAAAAACGAGGTTTGCGAGATTGGAAGATATTTTCCAGAATCACGGATTATTAGCATTCGAACGATCGCGTTTCCGAATGTGGGAAAAAAATATCGTTTAAAACAATGAGAAACCTCGGCGAGTAATCGTCACGGCGACTGACCATCGTGGTCACGGTGTTCACCTGTCCATTCTTTGGTCACACTCGAAGCCATTTTACACGTACACGAGCGCACGTATACCCGCATGATCTGTGTACGGTGTACGGCTGTTTTTCAGCTCGTTTTCTGTAACGGTCGAATTTACCCCCATCACTTTGAAACCGTGATATATATATATATAACAAAGCACGCATGCTCACACTGTTGCTAATTGTAATATTGTAACTCGTTGTTCGTTTAATTGCGCATCACGGTTTTTTTTTTTTTTGAGATAGAAAGGGTCGATGACGAGGAGGAGGAGGAGTCGCGAGGATCCAGTGTTGCATCAAGGATAACAACACCTTGTACCAAAATGAAATTTCGACCTTGAGGAGATTGATGCTGGCCGACATTCACGAATACGCCGTGCAAAACCCTCTATCGTGTGTATAGCAACACAATGTCAGCTCCGAAATTCGAACGGAACGGAACGGAACGATCGGCTCTAACAATACCGTATTTCCTTCGCCCGAACATTGTATTTAAAATTCGAGCGATCATTCGGCCAGTTTTATCGTTACGAGCTTTATTGTTACGAAAATATCCGATTTTTGAAAGGGAGGGGAAAAAAAAGAGAGGAAAAAAAAAAAAAAAAAAAGAAAAAAAAAAAATCGCAATGAAACGATGGTCAATTTTCAACACGAAACTCGTTTCTACTCTGGTCTCTCCCTCTTTTTCTGCCTGGTCCACCTGCTTGGGAACGATCGTTCTTTTTTCCTTTCGTCGCAGAACGCCGAGCGAACTACCCGCGAAAATACGTAAGCGAAGCGCGGGCTATTTCTTCTCCTTCCGATCGATCGATCGATCGATCGAAACAACCCTCCTCAACTCGTGAATAACATTACGAAATAATATTACGATCCCCCGATGTGATAAACTTTTAAACCTGTGGTAAATTATCGATTAGAATCGATTCACGCGATATTAACGTCCGAATTATCAAAAATAATCTTACGAATTTAATATCTCTCGTACGTTAATACTATCGTCGTGAACTATCATCGAACCGTTATCGTGGTGGAGCAACAACCACGTTACGTACGCCAGATAGTTATCGCGAGTGAAAAGAAGAAAAGAAAGAGTAAGAGAGGCGAGAAACTTTGCGCGTTGGTTTCCACGTGCGAGGAATAGCGGTGATAAAAAGGGTATAAAACGATTTAGAGGGGGAGGAGGAGGAGAAGGAGGAGAAGGAGGAGGAAGGCAGAGTTATATAGGAGAGTGGTCCGCGTGATCGCTCTATACGTCGTGCTACTTAGAAAAAAATAAAAGGTAGGCTTTATGGCGCGAGCCTCTTCCCTTCCCTGGCCAAAATCGCTTAGCATAATCCGTTGGACGGTTCGAAAGTGGGAGAAAGACGAAGGGATGTGAAGAGTAAGCGCGATTGCCGAGTTGGAAGAGGCGAGGATACCTGAGCTGGAACGGGACGGAGCGATGGTAAATGCGCGCCATTTTTACTGCGCACCCAGGTTGGCGCACCAATCAGATTTGAATCCTGGAGAGTCGGTGGAAGGGCACCGGACCTCGTGGCTTCGGTAAACGGCGGACTTGAAACAGGCTTCCTTGCCTTGAAGATTGGACGAACGAGCAGAACGAGTCTGGCCGTCGTACGGTGAAGACCAGAAGTTGCTTATCTAGTTCGGTAGCTGTGAGTTTGCGGCGTAGGCAGCCGGGCCGAATTTTCGAGAAATCTTGACAGAAAAGTCGGCGGAAATCGGGCGGGATAGCGGTGGATCGGTTGGCCGGGGAGCGGTGGACGTTCGGAAGGGAGGAAAACGGAGCGGCACAGTTTCCAGTTCGGATGCGGGATTGGAAATTCGCGTGGGCGCCGCTCTCGAACGTTTTGAAAAGCGAAAGAAGATCGAGACGGAGATAAGAACGAAAGTGGTTTCCCACCGAGTTGGTTGCTCGATTTTGTCGAAACAGAAGAAGTCTTCGAGATGCTGGCAGCTTCGTTCTGTCGCGAAGTTCACTTCACAGTGTTGTCCAGCACGACGATGGCCTCGCGCGTACCACGTTGCTTGTTCGGCAAACCGAATTCGAGGGAAACCGTGGAAATGCTCCACGAGGCGCTCGACGCTGAGAGAAGCAAATTCGCGAAGCGATGGGGCGTCGATCCTCGATCCGAAGACAAGGAGAACAACTACCAGAAGAAATATCACGACAAGTACGAGCAATCGCCGAAGAAACGGAGCAATCCGTATTCCAGACAGACCAGTATCCACGGTGAGCAGATTTCTTTTTTTCCTTCTCGTTTTGGTTTAAATTTTCTTTGTCCGAGTACACACGATTACCCGGCGTCGTTACTTGGAAATCTGTGTGCATTTATCACGCAATTTTATTAAGCTGTGAAAAACCGTGAATAAGAAATTTTCTCATTTCCGTTCGAGAAAGGGAGGAGGATCCCTCTCGCTCGACAAAAGAGATATTAATCTCTTCGAATCGAATCGATTTTCCCGATCGATCGATTTATTCTTTCGAGACGATAGTTTAAAATAACGTTTTCTTTACGCGAGCATGGAACGCGCGATATATTTGGAGCGATGCGTCCATCGGGTCGAATTAAATTTGATAAGCGTAGTAGGATGGTAAGAGCGTGGTAGGATTTTGGCGGGAAAGCGAGAGCGCTTGGCGAGGAAAGGGAAGGTAGAAGAAGGCGCAAGCGCAGGCCGGTCGCGTGGCTCCGGCTTCGACCTGTTTTCTTAGTCTAGCCTCGCTCCGCGTCTCTTCCGCCTTCTCTCTCTCCCTCCCTCCCTCCGTCTCCTTCTGGCCCAAGCTTCTGGTTTTACGCCGCTATCCAGAAACTTTCGANTGCCTGACTTAACCACTATCGCTTTCCAAAATTACGAACCCACGACGAGCCACTCCTCCTTTTCTTTCTCTCTCGCGCATCGTTATTACCTCACTCGTGATCTTTTTATATATATATATATATACACTATATACAGTATATCGTCGGTATTGGCAGTATCGCTGTTTAATTGGAGCATGGTTTCATGCATTGCCAACAATCGACGCACAAATTGGAATCGTTAAAAATACGAGAGCTACGTGTAAGAGGGGGGGGAGAAAAAATGTAGAAAGTGGTTTCTCATAGGTTGTCGAATGAATCACCGCCGATGAGTCACGCGTGTTTGAAGGAGGACGAAATACCTGAAGGGTTGTTGCTGTGACTCATCGGAAGGGCTCCAATTTTCGAGGAGTAAGACGGACTCGCGATCGAATTCCTTGAATTTTTTCCCCCTTAACCACCGACTCACAAATAGTTTTACCATTATTCACACATACCGACCACGGTCGCTCGGATGCACGATGGATATTACGTTTTATTGGCCAAGTGCATATTTCGCGACCAATCGCGTACTTTTAGAAACGATTATTATTAGAATCCGTTCTCTCTGTAATTTTTTCCCTCGTATTTTATATATTTTCTTATTTCGTANTATATATATATATACGTATATTCCGTAATCAGAAGCGATACGTGGAAAAGTCAACAGAGCGAAACAGAAAGCCCGAGCCCTTTTTTCCGCCAACACCTGTTAATCTGTGACGAGTTCGGTGTCTTTTTTTCCCACGATTAAATCAGGCCCGCGAACACGCCAACAACGGGACCTTCCGAAGGTCGCACACCACCTGTCGCATACCTTCTTACGATTGCATTTGCATTTCCTTTTCCCATCTCCTTCCTCTCCCTCTCGTTCCTTAGAAAATTTTCCTTCCTCCTCTTCTTCTCTCCCCCTATGCGACGTAAATGATCGAGGTTGGAAAATCCTCGATCCCTCTGCAAATCGTCGACCACTTTCGAATAGGAAGAAAGGAGGAGGGAGGGAGACTTTGAGTTGTGCTCTTTGGTGAATCTGGAAAAAAAAGAGAGACTGACCTCCTTTTAGACCTTCTTCGTGGTGGAAATTTTTGGCTCGATTGAAGAATCGGAGATGGAGGAATCCACGGACAAAAGTGATCTCTTCGATCTTTGTTCCCGAATCTTGAAGCATACAGGTAGGGACGCGTCGTACCTCGCGCGAGGAAGAAGAAAGAAGAAAAGGAAAAATCTCGTTATTCCTCGGGTGCGGAGAGACAGATGTTGACAATCGAAATTCCCGGTGGAATTTCGAGCGAGAGGAAAGGAAGCTTGGTTTCGCGCGCGCCATATGGCAAACCAGTGCGAAAAGGGAGGATAAGAGAAAGGATCGTCGCGACATATGGCCGTTCCTCCGATTTGTTCCACCTTTCGCACTTGTCATTACGATACACGATAATCAAGTTTCGTACATCGTGTTCGTTTTCGATCCATTCCATCCCTCGCCTCTACGATTTTCAATATATGGAAAAAAAGAAATGGAAGAGATAGGAACACGAGATGTGAACGAGAAATGTAATTAATCGTAAATAGAAGCAATGAATTGGAGAAAAGATGGGAGAAATGGGATAGTAGCTAATCGAAAATAGTCAAACATAGGGTATTTCGTTTATGGGGTTTGTTGTGGAAATTTTCGTGCTTCTTGCTGAGACGTAACCTGCAATAATAAACCCGACTTATGTTTCCATTAATGAAAACACCTTTACGATACTTTACTTTTGGAACAAAAGTATCGAGATAGTTTTGTCTTTCCTTTTTTTTTTCCTTTTTTTACTTCAAATTTCCCTCCCTCCATCGCAGATGGAAAGAAATCACGAGGACGAGCTAATTCCTTTTGTTTTATGCATCCAACGACGCGCGTATCGTATTTGAAATTTTAATTAACCGCAAAATGTGCATACTAATCTTTAACTTGGCCCGTTTCGTTTCTTTTTACAGATTATTGGCGAGCCCGTAAGGTATGCGAGGTGAATAAGAAACCTCTTGCCTCATCGGTGGACGCGGCGAAGCAGCAGAACGAGTCGTCGAAAACGTCGAAGATGATGATGAAGTCGTCGAAAAAGGCGGCACAGAATTGAGGGAGCGAAACGCGTGCTTAATTGCGTTTAAACAGTTCCATCCTGGCAAGAGTATCTATCTCCTATCTATGGGATCTTGTGTATTTATTCCTCGTTCCGCTCTTCCGTCATATCGTCGTCGTATTGTAAATTGAATAATCGTCGGCGTTGTCCTCCTTAGAATTAATTACTAATTGTTAACTATATATTATTCTTGTAAATAATGCATATATATATATATTGATTTGGAGGTTTGGATGAGCTCACTGTCTGCGTTATCGACTGTATCTTTCTTTTGT